TGAGCCACTGAGCCCAGCTCCAGAAAAGTTTTATAATTTTTAGTGGAATTGTCATGGATTCCAGACCTGTGGCATCTAAGTTTTTTTTTTTTTTAATAGTATCAAAGTACCTTTTAAAAAAGAAAAAAAAACCCTGAAATCTTTCAAGGATGAAACCATGTTATATAAAAACATGTAAAAATAGTGCTTCCTTGGAATGCATATATTTTCTTCATTGAAATTTTTAATTTGTGAGAACATTGAGGTGGTTCTGATAAAACCAAATGTGACATCTGGATTATTGGTTAGAGTTCTAGTCTTGGATCAGTCTCAGTATTTTGTGTTAGTTGCTGTGTGTCCAGGAGAATTATGATTCAGGCTAAAAACTAGTGGCAGATGAGAACAGAGCTTGAACAGCTTGCCTCTCTGCATCTGTGCAAAAGTGGCTGTAGAAACTGCATAAAGCAAGTTGACTTTTTAAGCAAATATTAATGGTTTCCCAGTGGTCCACAATGTGTGCTTTTTATTATAATTTGTAAGTTAAAGTAAGTAGTACAAACGAAATGCAAATCAAATATCTGTAGAAGATCAGAAATACATTGTCTGAAATCCACTGCTATTCTGTTTCTGGAAGGTGTTGGTCCTGTGATAGCTGGAGTGTTCTCAGCCCTCTTTGTGCTGGCGGTACTGATGCTAATGTGTTATTGCTGCAAACAGAACAACAAACTGGGCCAACTCAAGCCCTTAGCTCTCCCTTCCAAGTTGAGGCAACATTTCAGGTATGATGGGATCCCAGAAGGGACTTGGGTATACTTGTGGATCATGAAGTTCTTAAGCAGTACCTAGAGAAAGTGTTAGGGGTGGTGGGTCTAATTTAAGGAAGATAAATGCAAGGTACACCCCATCCCCTCCCCTGCTGTGATGCTCTGTGACTGAGGCAGACATCACTAGTCGATCTTACTGCACGTACTGTCTACTGAGCCCGGTTGTCACTCCAGAACTCTTCTCAGCAGATTACCCCCAACCAGTTCAGGTTAGAACAGAAAATAAAACCAATTCACCATCTTTTACCTTATTGATTTGTTCCCCATTTTAAAGAGCAGGAAACTGAGATGACAGAGAAGGGATCACTAACTCAAGTCAGTCACAGGGGTGACTGGACATCAAGACAAAGACAAAAGTTTTTTTTTTTAAGTGATTCATTCTTTCAGATGTGGAAGAGGTATTGTCTCTGAGTCCCCTATTACATTATACTTGTTTTGGAAGGGATTTTAAGTCACAAGTCTTTCTGAATCTATGCCTGAGGGAGACTGATTGATGGCCGGTGACATCTTGTGTCCCTTAGAGGGGAAAAGGTGAGGAGAAGATGCTGAGAAAACTCTGCTTTATAGAAGGCCAACTCTCTTTCCTTTTGAGTCCTCTGGTTGCCACAGACAAGTATTCTTCCTTGGGAAGATGTGGTTTGAGAAGACCAGTTCAGCTTCCTCCAGAGCAGACCTGCTGGCTGTGCTTTGGTGAAGGGGAACTTACTCACTGACCCTTGCTGAACACCCCTCCTTCTGACTCCTTGTTTCTAGTTGTCCCTTCAGGGTGTCTCAGAATAGCGGAACTGGTCATGCCAACCCAACTTTCAAGTTGCAGACGCCCCAAGGCAAACGAAAGGTAAGGGCTTGCCCCTCAAACATTGCTGCTTTTCTGTCATCCTTCAGGACCATGCTGGATTTCCTAAGAGCCTTCCACCAGCTCCAAAGCCATGTAGAGATGAGGTGGGCTCTTAGGATTGCTAATAAAAGCCATTTTACTGGCTTGAGAGACAGATCAATTGGTTCCGATGCCCCCTAATGACTTTAAAGTTTTAGCTGACCTCTGACATGCTCGGAAGATTTAACAGGTCAGCCATGTATGATCTCCTCTTGGGCTAAGGTTCTCTCAATGAGGCACACAATGGTGCCCCTGTGTTTTTAAGTGCCCTGAGGATTCCTTATCTCAGGCATTCCTTGTCTTACGCATACAGGTGATCAGCACTCCAGAAACCCTACGGAAACCTTCCCAGCCCCCTCCACGACCCCCTCCAGACTATCTGCACAATGGGTCCCTACCTGCACCATTGTCAGCACACCTGAGCAAGGCTGCTAGGAACTCCCCAGGGCCCGGGTCTCAAGTGGAGAGAAGGGAGTCGTCTAGGAGGCCTCCCCCAAATCGGCCAGTGCCCCCTGCACCAAATTGCATCCTCTCCCAGGTAAGTGGATTCTCAGCAACCCTGGGCTGGGAGCACTGATTTTATGCAATGGATGTCAGTACCTGGAAAGATGGAACTTGTTGGGTCATGAACTGATTACTCCTCCTGTGTTCTGGTGAAAACAGGGGCATACAGCACATTAGAGCAAGGAGTACATGGAAGTAGCCTCCCCAGGAAGCTCGTAAACCACACATTTCCTCCCTGGTTGGCTTATTTTGTGACAAGCCACGAACCATCTTCCCCACCAAATTAACTTCTTTCAGTTCCCTGTGCTCCGTGTCCTCCAGCTCTGCACACACGCTGCTCTTCTGCCCGATAGGCTCCTCTGCCCTTTGCCTGCCGGCTATCACTCATCCTCAGGTTTGCTCTTAGATGCCATTCCTCCCAGGAAGCCTTCCCTGAGGCCTCAAGCCAGAGTTTGCTGCCCCGCACTTCTCTCATCATATTTTACCAAATTGTATCTGTCAGTATTTTCCAGTAATCAGAAAGTCTTACTGAGGGTGGTACCCTGATGCTTCACTCATCTGAGGGGTAGGGGAAGGGCAGAGGCCTCTGGGAGCTGAGAATGGGGTCCAGGCTCTCTGCCCCACCACTGGTGCTCATAGAAGCACAGCCCTCACCTCTGGCCCCTCCCAGCAGTCTGTGCTCTGATGGCTCCAACCACACCTTCTGGCACAAGTTTCCCCAGTGCAGACACTCCTGTGCCTTCTGGAACTGACCTGTGTTTTGGGTGTGACACTTCAAGCAAAACTGCTTTTCTTAGGCATAGTCCAAGGCTTCCACGGGGCTCAGGCTGTCTCTGATCCTAAGGGCTGTGGGGCTGGCGGCAGTTTCTGGAGGGTCCCTGGGACGTGGGGCAGTGGTAGAGCTGGGAGCATCAAGTCTGGTTTCATTCACCTTGTGCAGGGCAAGGGTGGTAGAACTGAGAGCATGGAGTCTGGTTTCATTCGCCTTGTGCAGGGATAAACTATGGAGAGAGGGAGGGGAAGGATTGACAGGGAGAGAGGAAGGAGGAGGGGAAGAAAGCCAGAGGAGGCAGGAGGGGAGAGAAAAGGAGACGGAGCACATTCACGGGCAGGAGCTGTCACAACAAAGTACCACGTGCTAGTGGCTTCAACAATAGCCTCTTATTTTCCTACAGTTCTAGCAGCTGGAAGTCCAAGATCAAGGTGCTGGTAGGACTGGTTTCTCTAGAGGCCTCTCTTCTTGGCATGCAGATGGTCACATTCATGCTGTGTCCTTACATGGCCTTTCTTCCGTGTCATACATCCCTGAGGTTTCTATCTGTGTCCAAATTTCCTCTTCTTAAGAGGACACTAGATTGAATTAGGGCCCATCCTCGTGGCCTCATTTTAATTTGATCACCCTATCACCTTTTAAAGACTTTATCTCTTTAGAGCAGATTCTTGATGTGAGAGCTTCAGTGTGTAACTTTTTTTTTCAAATGGTGAGGGCTGCACAGTTCAGTCCCTAACAGAGAAAGAAGAGGAAAGGAGAATGAGGAGAGAGAAAACAGCCACATAGAGATGAAGTGGCAAAGGGAAAACAGGGGTGCCGGTGGAGAAAGGGGAGCACGTGTCTAGCGAGCAGTCCACACAGATCTTGGTTAGTACAAACCCTCGCTGGAGGCTTGTTAGAGAACATGAGGCTGGCTGCACATCCCGTCACCCTGAGGTGCAGAGCACTAGGACTGGGTCAGAGTGTTGGGACAGCAGGAGTCCTGCTGGGTAGGAGAAGTAGTTTAGGCCCCAGGGTCTACTGGCAGGTGTCCCAAGTTCAGGGGTCCACCCAGCTGGTGGCAGGTGCTCCAGAATACATCTCCTGAGCACAGCTTCTCCTGGGCCCCAGGCCCAAGGGGGAGTTCTTCTGTAAGCAGGCTGTGGGAGGCAGCTGCCCTGAGGGAGACCACAGGGACCAGATCAGGCCAGCCCTCCCCCCCCACCAAGCTGGTCCAAGAAGTGAGTTGCTGCTGCCCTCATTTCTCACTGAGGCTGCTGAGTCAGGACTGAGGAAGGACTCCCCTTCCATTGCTCGGTTTGTGAGTGGAGGTGCCAGGCCTTGAACCAAGTGCCCAGCCAGTTGAGTGAGACACTCCCCACCCCAGGGACAGAAGGCAGTGCCATCCCTCCCAGCAGGGAGAAGGGTGGGTGAGGCTTTATGACCTTTTCCGTTCACCAGGTGGTGGCAAGCAAAGCAGATGCCAGCCTTGCCTCCTGGATCACATTCTGTGCAGAAGAGACTCTGGGATACGTGTCCTGCAGCAGCGATAAGTGCTTGAAAGAGAGGTTCAGGGTGCTCAGGAGATTGTAGCAGGAGACTTGACCTAGCCTAGGAAATCCAGGAAGTCTGCCCTGAGGAGGTGACATTTGAGCTGAGAACATGAAGGAAGAATAGCAGCCTCCTGTGCCCACCAGCAGGCAGGCTCTGTGGTGGGAGAGAGCCTCATGTACTGAAAGAACTTAAGGCCCGTGTGTGAGGGGCTCAAGAAGCTATGAGATGAGGCCAGAGAGTCAAGAGGGCTATGCCGGGCACACACAGCCTTCGTCAGGGCTTTGGTCTGCGTTCCATGGGAAAGGACAGTGTTGGAGCTTGGTGACATGACAACATCTGCCACGTATGAGGCTGCTCTGGGCTGCCTTTAGACAGGGGGCAGGTGTAGTACCTGGGAGGGGCTCATAGATTTTTCTGGGACTGTAAATCTATTTCTTGACCTTGGTGGGTGTCACTCTGTTTACATCGTGATCATTCATCTACTTATATATTTATGACTTGTTCACATTTCTATGTGTACCTTACCTTTCAATTAAAAAAAACAGTTTAAAAATATTGCAGGGATTGCCCTAGTAGCAATGGATGGCCTAGTTAGAAGATGTAGAGGTCATCTTGAGAAAGATGATAAAGCTGGCAGCAGCAAGTAGAGTGAAGACAATGAGGATGTGTAAAAGGAGCAATAGGACTCCGGGATGCAGTGCAGACAGGGCTTAGCAGGGAGGGATGCCACCCTGTCTGGCCTGTGCAGCATGATGGCATGAGATGCCACCACTGGGGGAAGGGAGCTGTGGGCCAGAGTGGTTCAGGGCTGTTTCTACTGGGCAACCCCTGGTGGAGCTGAGCTGCCTCATTATCAGCTGTGACTTGGGACACTGGTAGGCCCAGTGCTAATGTGCTGATAAAGCCTCTGCCCAGGTAATGACCCCCCAGGGCTCACTGTGCTAACAGCTGAGGGAGCACTGCCTTCCCAATTGCACCCTGACACCTGCACCCAGCTGTTGTTTCCCCTGAGAAGATCTCCATTTCGGCTTCCAGCAGCCACTGCAATTTGGCAGCTCTTCTGGGCTGAGGGAGTTGGGGGATTATGTTGTCCCCAGATGGAGCTGAAGAACGTGGCTTTTTGGTCAGGTCGATTCTCTTCCTTGGGCTTTAGGTTCTGTTCTCAGTTTTCTGATTCACAGAAGCTTGCAGAAAAGCTTGGCTGACTGGTCCTGCCTTCTCTGCACGCTTGCCTTTGCCCCCTGTTTATGCTTGTTAGTGACCCTCTCAAGAGAGGAACAAGTGACGGGGAGAAGGCCCTGGGATTCCCATCTGTGCAGCTGGCTTCTCCTTCAACCCCGCCAGCATGGGGCCCTGTGAGTGGCACAGTGTTTTCTTTTCCTCTTAAAAGTCATTTTTTTAGACACGGAAGAAATACATGTTTATTTTTAGAACTTTGACTAGCACATTTATTCAACAAATGTGCGTTAAGCGTCACTGTTCTGGCAGCTTGAGCTATATCAGTGAACGAAACAGATAAGGACCCCGGCCCTGCCTCTCTCCTAGTGGGGGTGGGAAGACAAAAAATAAAAATCAGCCGGTATGAAAAGATGTGGTTTCTTCTTTGTTCAAATTTTCTTTTTATTTGCATAGGCAATATATAAACATGCTCTTGCTAAAAATACTGGCTGTTCACCTGGACCACCCTCCACCCCTCCTACACCCCACCCCAGCATAACCTCTGTTATCAATTTGGTCTGTACCCTTCCTGACCTGTTAGATGGGGGAGCATGGTGACTTGCATTACGTAAACTGTCCTCGGCAGCTAGTACATCAGCTTGTTGCCTTTTTCACCTAACAACCCTCAAACATCAACCCATATCAACCTATTTGATTTTTCAAAAATGCAGCCTCATTTATCACTATAATTTTAGTTATTTCTCTGCGGATGAAAGTTTTGGCTATTTATAGTTTTGCTAGTGTCACAAACAGCTGCGGGGAACATCCCGTTTCATTTTTGTGCACCTGTGCAGATAGTTCTTTAACATGGGTCCTAGGGAGTGGGACGATGAGGTCAGAAAATGGCCATCGCTAATTGTGATAGATACCGAAACCACCTGCTCTCCAGAAAGCCTTCTTCCTGAGCATGTAAACACCAATATGCACACATATGCACGATTTGTTTTCAGTTGAGACCATACACTGTATGCCTTTCTTCATCTGATTTTGACCCCTAAGATATCAGGGGCATTCTCTTTCGGACGGGTCTCTCTGTCCTTCAAGTGAGGCTTACTGGCCAGGCATAGTGGCTCAGCTGTATAATCCTAGCACTTTGGGAGACGGAAGTCAGGAGTTCAACACCAGCGTGAACAAGAGTGAGACCCTGTCTCTAGTAAAAATAGAAAAACTAGACAGGCTTTGAGGCGGGCACTGGTAGTCCCAGGTACTCAGGAGGCTGAGGCAAAGGGACTGCTCAAACCCAGGAGTTGGAGGTTGCTACAAGTTACAATGCCACTGCACTCTACCCAGGGCAGAAGAGTGAGATTCTGTCTCAGAAGAAAACCAAATAAGGTGTACTGCTTTCTCTCCAGGATTTCGCTAGGCCTCGGCCGCCCCAGAAGGCACTCCCGGCAAACCCAGTGCCAGGCCGCAAGACACTCCCCAGGCCGGGCAGTGCCTCCATGCTGAGGCCTCCTGCCACCACCCCTCAGCAGTCCCGGCCTTTGGTACCACCTACTCCAAAGGTGAGTCCACGGACTCCATGGGAGCCCTCAAGGTAAAAGCCCAGTACCAGAGGGCTTTGGGGGGCAAGCGTGGGGCTGACAACACAAACCAGCTCATGTTTCTCATCTCCTGAGCTGAACTTCAAGCCAAGGACAGAAGTTTGCTGTTTCTTAATGCCTGCTTGACTGTCCCTCAGCTTCACCACAGGGTGCTTTGTCTTTATGTGAAAGGGGATGCTTAGGAGCCTGAACCCTGGTGGCTTCCAACCTGCATCTGCTCCTGACCAGCACAGTGACCCTGAGCAAGTCCCTCTCTCCAGCCTTAATTTCCTTGTCTGTAAAAAGCAGCAGTACCCAGCCCCATCAGCTCACTGTGAAGAGCGAGGCTGTGGTTACATAACCCACCTGGGCTGGGGCAGGCTGCGTGCACACAGCCCCTCTGGTGACCTCTTCTCTGTGGCTGACAGACTCTCAGGTTGCCATGCTGGGAGTTGGGTGGGAAAGAGATGAGTGGGGATGCTGGGGACAACCTGAGTTCCCATGTGGTGCTGGGAAGTCTGTGAGCCATGCCGCAACTTTAGGGGTGAAGGGAGCAGGAAGGGATGAGCAGTTAGCTCGAGATGGGGCCCCCACCTCCCCCTTTCTGTAGAGCTGATAGTCTATGTGAGCAGAGGAATCGACGGCTTCTCCAGGAAACCTTTCCTCTGAACAGACGGTCCAGCAGGACAGCTCTCCCACTTGGTCCTGCCAGTCAGTACCGAGCTGATGTCTTTCTCCCTCCCTTCTCTTTCTTTCCACAGTTTCCAGAATACAGATCACAGAGAGCTGGTGGGAAGACTCGCTCGAAAATCTAGACTCCCTAAGGGGTTCCTACTTTTCCTCTGTGGACTCTGGACACCCTAGAGGATCCACGGCCACAGAACCCAAAAGAAGCATGTCTGGCCACCTCTGAGCCCTGCCTGCCCTCCTTCAGAACTGCCACAGCTCAGAGAAGGTTCTCCTTGACCCTGTGCCTCCTCGGCTTCCTCAGAGGCCCAGGGGATCTGTGATCTGCTGGCTTCTGAGGGTGGTTTTGTGCAATATACAGCTCTGGGTAGGGAGGGGAGAGAACGGAGGAGGAGGGGTGGGAGCTTCTTCCCCAACCCCCAGCCCCAAGGGGCCCCTGGAGATGGTCAGGGATGTCTGAGCTGGCGAGCTGGGCCAGTCCTCTTCAGCCCCTTAGGCCAGGACTTGCCTTGCAGAAGTCGTCCTCCCATGTCCTGTGGTGGAGGGTAGGTGTGAACATCCCATTGCCTTTGTCGCCCTCGACAATCCCCCACTGGACAGAGGCTGGCACTTACCCATCCACTTTAGCTTTTAGGGATTGAGGAAGGGACCAGCCGTCCATTGCTGTGTCCCTGCCCAGGGCTGGGTTGAGGCCATGGCTCCTGGCTCTGCGGCTGCATGTGACAAGCCAAGTCCCCTTCCCACCTCCCCACAAACACCCGCGTCCCCTTATTCACACGGGTCACTCTGACTCAGACAGGTACTATTTGTAGGCAGTGTAGACAGCAGGGGAGCACCGAGCTCGGGCCTCCTCTGAGCTGAGATGCCAAAGGTTGCGACTCTCAACTTGCCATAATTTTGGGTTGCTTTTGTTTTTTTCTTCTGCACTTTCCTAGTGCCCCATGCTCTTGTCTTGTCCTTTCCCCTCACACCCCCTCTAATGTGTGGTGCTTTGATGAGTGAACCCCCAGCAGTCCTGACTTTCTGGTGACCAGGTGCTTCTGACCCACAAGTTGGGGTCCTGCCCCAAGGTTGGCCACTGGATTTCCTGCATCGGATCTCAAGAGTACTGGCCAGAGTAGACTCAGGGCTGGCCCTGGGGGGTCATATCTTTATTTTTTATTGTTTTTTGTGACCTCAGTAGAGTGAGGGTCTTCCTCATTACTCCCGGACCTAAATCAAGGTGAGGTTCCTCCGGGGATGGGAGCAGCTGTGGTGAAGGCAGCAGACACCCTACGAAGCCCAGCTATTAACCTAGTGCGTACTCGGGAGCCAGCCTGCGCCAGTGGTCTGGTCACTGACTTGAGGTGGGATATTGATCTCTGAGTGAGAGCAGACCTGTTTCCAACCAAGGGAGCCTCTGCAGCTGAGATCTCTGGAACAGACAGCGACCACTAGCTGTGCTGGAACAGTCAGAGCTGACCCCTAATCTGGCTTTTTGTCTTTCACTTCCTTTTGTTCTCCTTCCCGTTCCCTGACCCTTGCAGAAAGGCAGCTGTGAGCTGGGCTCCAGTGCTCCCATCCTCCTACAGCAGGGAAGGGAGGGCTGTGGTTTTCTGCTAGCTGGGACAATTTTCTCAAAGTAGCTAGAGACATTCTCTGAAAGACTGTCCTCTACCCCAGGAAGGTGCTGGGTGGCTCTCTGGGGGGGAGCTGGTCTGACTTCTACTCCTTTGAGGCTTTCCAGGGGTCTCCCCACCTCTTGCAGTGAGCATTTGTTTGCTCTTGGAAACCTCAATGCAAGGACTAAGGCCACCTGTCACCCAGGGCCTTATTGTTCCCTGCTCATAGTAGGTGCTTCATAGATCTTCTTAGGTTTGTAGATAAATGGGAGACATAGGATGTGCACCTGGGGATAAACCTGGGGTGGATTTAGGAAGATCTCAGGAAAATGAGTTCGTTTCCCTCAGCTGGCTGTGATACTGGTGCCCCTTTCCCCTGGCCTGGGACCTTCTTGCTCCCAGATCCACTCCCCACCTTCCTTGTGGCCTCATTAAGTCAGGGGACAGCTTTCCACTTACATACACTGCCGCATGCCTCCAGGCTGGGCCTAAGAAAAGTGAAGTGAAAATAAACAAAGAACACCCTCAACCTCCAGCCCCTGCCTCACAGATGTTCCTATGGCTTGCCCATTCTTTCTCCCTCACTCCTGGAGGTAGGTGGTTCTAAAGGGCAATGCCACCGCCATTGTGACAGCATGAGCCTTCTGACCCTGCAATCCACCCATAAGAGACCTGTTGTTTTCTTGCTTTTTGTTTTGTTTTGTATTTGTTTTCTCATTATTTTAACACCATCTCCTTCCCATACAATTGTACTGTGAACTGGAAGATGGTGGAGTTTTTTTTTAATTTGATGGAGACTTTTAGCAGCCTGTTCTTATGGCTGTCTCCCTGCTGGTTCTGTGCATGGAGGCTGCCCAGGGAAGACCACCATCATACCGCCCCTCTTCTTTCCCGGGCCCCCTGCTCCTGTGAGGTGTCAAATACAAATACATCTGCACTTAGGGAAGGAGATTCCTTATTCAAAAGGGTGATTGCAAGAAGGGGAAAAAGAACATTACTGAAGGGGGAAGACGGGATTTCTGCAATAGGGAGCACGATCAGACCGACCTACTGCAAAATCACAACCTTCTCAAAGCCCAGGCAGAAAAGGCCTTTTGTCTTTAGAAATAAGAAATAAGCATAGCTAGAGAGAGCCCGTGCAGGGAATGTCTTTGTGCTTGGCCATTTTTTTTAGGGGTGGGTGCAGGGGGAGAAATGGGCTATTTTCTGGCAGCACCTGTAGCTCAGTGAGTGGGGCGCCAGCCACATACACCCAGCCCAGGCCAGTTAAACAATGACAACGGCAACAACAATAAAAATACCTGGGCGTTGTGGTGGGCATCTGTAGTCCCACCAGCTACTTGGGAGGCCAAGACAAGAGAATCACTTAAGCCCAAGAGTTGGAGGTTGCTGTGAACTGTGATGCCACAGCACTCTACCAAGGGTGACATTGTGAGACTCTGTCTCAAAAAAAAAAAAAAAAAAAAAAAAAATAGAATGGGCTATTTTCTGGCTAAAGTTGAGGGCAGGTCAAGGTCCAGGGTCTGGTGGGGAGGAGGGAAGCCTGACTAAAGTTTGGTTTAGTGAGTTAATACCAGTGTAAATATTTATAAAAACTAAATTAGCCTCCTGCCAGTTTTACAACTCTGGAATGTTCTTAAGGGCTTTGGAGCTATCTCTGAAATGTAAAAAGCCCAAGGAAGGTAGCGCCCCTGTTTCCTGGTTTCTCTGGGAGTTTCAGCCTGGGCACAGGACTCCAACTTGTAGGTACCTGCCTGCCATTGGTTCCTTCCAGCCATGTTGCCATCTCCCTATAAAAAAAAAAGCCCTTTTCTGCCTCAGCTCTGAGACGCTTGCAGATTTTCTGGTCAGCGTGTTCTCTGTACTGCAGCCTCCCTTCCCCGCACTGCGACAGCCCCTTTCTATCCTTACAGGCTTTCTTTTGAATATGTTCTCTCCTTACCTACTTCCTAGTTTGTTAAGTGACAGAAGGTAGGAAAGAGTTGCATTTTTAAATCTTAACGGACCAGATCCCAAGTCAGTAATTGTGTTAAATGCATATATAAAGGCTCTGCTGGACACCCAAGCAAATCACGGGAACCCCAACTGGAAAGTCCCCCATCCTGAGGGAAGCCTGGTAATGAGAAATTCTGCAGAATCCACACCCCACGTCCCCAAAGTCACCCTCCGCGCGTCCTCGCACACCATCCACTGTGTGTATGTCTGTGTCTGGGCTCCAGGGCAATGTGAATTTTCTTTTTCTTTTGGAGATTGTTCACAGAAAACAGATCTTCTTCTCTCTTGTCCACCTGTTAATTGTTTACAATATTTGTACATCTATGCAAAATACTTGAATGGGCCATGGTGCCTTTTTTTCCTTGTTTGTATTTAATTAAAATGAATTGTTTGTTATTTGGAATGTTACCTGGTTTGGAAACTCTTTTCTTGAGTGTGTGTGTGTTTTTAATATCCCACTGCTTAGAGCGGCTAGCATATGTGACATGTGGACGCCTCAGAGAGAGCTCCCCACAAAGACCATCATGAGGGTATACCATGGGCCACAGCAAAGCCCTGGGATTTCCCATGACCAGAAGGAGGAGCTGTTTGTTCTTGTACCTGAATACAGACTAGTCTACTTTAATTAGGTCTGGACTAGTTAAAGGCCTTTCATTAATGGCCTGAAAGACCCTGGGATTTTCTGATCCATTTCTTCTCATACTACACAATTACATTTAGAAGACAACCAAGACCCTCTGCTCAGCTCCTCGTCTTCTTGCTGGGATCATACCCTAAAAAGGGAGGGATCTGCCCAAGGTCTCTTGGGCTTGGAGGCAGGCACAGCCAGGTCTGGAGTTGGGTACGCTTTCTGATTCCACATCCCTGTGAGATAACTTAGCTCATATGCATAAGTGCCTCCTAGTCCACAAAAGAATCCCACCCTCATTCTCTCATTTGACCCCTACCTCAATTTTGAAGTTCTCTCACAAAGAGAAAGAGAGAGAAATAATAACCATGATAGCAGGTAACATTTACTGAGTACAACTGGCCTTCTGTATCTGTGGGTTCCACATCATGGGTCCAACCACAGACTGAAATATTTTAAAATAAAAAAAAAATAGTAGAAATTTAAAAATAGACTAAAACAAATATTTACATAGTGTTTATATCGTTTGAGGTATTATAGTAATCTAGAGATGATTTAAAATGTTTCAGAGAGCCCGAGGATCATTCAGGCCCTTACATGGCAGATCTGTATTAAGTTATATGTAAACACACCACTTTATATACGGGACTTGAGCATCTGTGGATTTTGGTATCTGAGAGAGTCCTGGAACCAGTCTCCCATGGATACCAAGGGAAGACACTACTTAACAGACGTGAGCCACCCTGTGCTACTTTTTTGATGAGGATTATGCCATTTAATCCTTGCAAAAACCCTGGGAGGGGGTTCTTGATATCTGATTATGCTCTTCTAACCTCTTATGGTTAAGAGGTTGCCTAAGGACACTAAAGGCATCTAAACTCAAATTCTTTCACTGCTAACATGCCTGCTCATGAAACAGGTCCCCACTTGAACATCCCTGCCTGCTTACCAGGCTACATTGTCTATTGTCGGCCAATCTCTGGGTTGATAGCTATCTCTTGGTCAGCAGAAATCCTTGACCTGGATAGCTAGTAAATACTGACTCTCTACTTACTAGATACAGGAGCTACATAGTTCCAGAACTCTCGGTCTCTTTTCGCTATATAAGTAATACCTAACTCGGAAATGTTGTGATCGTCAATGAAGTTCTCCGTGGAAAACACCCCCTGCACCTGGCACAGGGTACACTCAGGAACTGCTGACTGCATCAGTCCAGAGTTGCTCAGCTTTACATGCTGAGGTTGTTAGGATCATCCTTGCTTTGAGAGCTGGTCTCTAAGAGAGTTTAGGCAAGGAAGAACTGTTTGTAAGGGTATTGTTCCTTCGTTCAATAGGGTTTTTTTTTTTTTTTGAGTGCCAGCTATGTGCTAGGCACTGTAGATTAGCAGTAGATCAAGGTCAACTCTCATGGAGCTTATATTCAGGTGAGGAGAGAACAAGGTCACAAGAAAATGAATGTACAAAGTAATTGTCACAATTGGTGACAAGGTTAGTCTTTTGGAGAGACACATGATGTCTGGTAATTAAGACTGTGGACTCAGAACCTGATATCAACTTGGACACTTTCTGGCTATGTGACCTTGGGCAATTATTAACCTCTCTGAGTCCCTTTCCTCACATATAAAGTGAGGATAAGCCCAGTGTGGTGGCTCATGCCTATAAACTTAGCATTTTGGAAGGCTGAGGCAGGAGGATTGCTTGAGGCCAGGAGTTTGAGACCAGCCTGGGCAACAAAATGAGACCCCCATCTTTACAAAAAATAAAAAAACTAGCAAGGTGCCATTTCCTGTTAGTCCCAGCTACTCCAGAAGCTGAGGCAGGATTGCTTGAGCCCAGGAGTTTGAAGTTTTAAGAAGCTATGATTATGCCACAGCATTCCAGCCTGGGTAACAGAGAAAGACCCTTTCTAAAAAAAAAAAAAAAAGATAAAAAGATACTACATATCTACTAGGAGATTTGTGAGGCGTTACAGGATTCACAGGAGGCACTTAACTGTGCCTGGTGCCTGGTGTGGGCCCCGGCATTAACAAGGGATGAGTCATCATCCACTGGCCCTATTTCAAAAACAACCTTTCCCACTCTATCAAGAGCAGCCACACTCTTTCAGAGACTGAAGACTGTCCTCTCAGAACTAGTGGAAGAAGTTTTAATTGCTCTACATTCAAGGAAGGTCAAGACCCAAGTGTCAAGTAAATGCACTCTGAAGTCTTTATTCTTGACCCTGCAGACCATGCTCTCAGGGCCACACTCTCAGTTCTCAAAAGCCAACATGTTGCATTGATTTTAGTTACCGACAGAAATCCACATTCATTATAAATCTCAGGATTGGAGGCTGGAGGTGGAGGGAGTCAGTCTGGTGGTTGGCTGAGCCTTCGAGCTCCAAGGTCAGCCACAGTTTGCCTGGGCTTGGCTACACCTAGGGCAAGGGATGTTAACACAGGGCACAGTAGGGGAGGCTCTGCACCAACGTGGGGCTGAGGACCCAATCTTCTCTCTTTCCAGATACACTGCCCCCTAACTTCCCTTTCTCATGGTCCTTGTGCCATGGCACACTCATGCACCTGGTACAAGACAGAAAGGGAAGGGAGATCCATCACATCTCCCCCAGCTCCTCTGGTTTTGGGGGGCCCTCTGGCAAAATGTGAGGGGACTAGCAGCAGTGCCCATGGCAGGTGGTATTGTAGGCAATCATGGTATGCTGTCCCAGCATAAGTAGCTCATCAGGGGAGTTGGAGACCCAGAGGCAATGTAAAGTCAACATCCAGATTGTGCCTGTGCCAGTCTGCACTTGGCCATGGAGATTTAAAGCCAATCCTACTGGCCAAGGCTTTAAGGTAGCAGAAGCTACCCCAGGACCCTTCCTCCTAAGCTCCTTGCTAAGCACCAGAGTGAACACAAAAGTTAGTACCTGGTTTCCAGAGAGCTGTGACTGCTTTCTGCTTAATCCCAGCTTTGCTCTTCATCCTTCTCCCCACCTCCTCAAATCATATTTTGACTGACTCCTTGAGAAAAAGTCAAGTGCATTCTGCCCAATCTAGCTCAACAGCCGGACACTTTCCAGAACAGTGCAATTGCTATTCTTTTTCCACAGTAAGGCAGAATGGAACACTGGGTTTGGCCAGCAGTGCTTAGCTTTGCGGCATCTTTTGTTTTGTTTTGAATCCAAAGACACATACATACTGCCTGTGTGTCTCAGGGACTGACCCCTTAGGAAGTGTGTGAAGAGGGCAGGGGGTGGAATGCACTGGGTGGACACTGAGAGGCTGAGCACCAGGCTGGGCTGCTCGGGGAATGGCTGGTTAAAATTTTTCCCTGAGACATCAGGTGGCTTTCACAGTAAAAAGGTCAGAGGAGGTCTTGCTTCTGTCTGAAGGGGAAGTGGCAAAAGCAACAGGACATTTTTATGGTGGTGGTGTCCCTGTCAGCTCTGGGCGGAAGGCATGGCCAACTGCTCTCAGAGCCTCTGGAAGCCAGCTCTTTTTCATTCTTGGGCTAAGAAATGGCAATTCCATCTCAGAAGAACTGTTATGAAAGATTTCCCGATGACTAACCTCAGGGAAGCTCTTAGACTGTGCTACATTCAATGGGTCAAATTCTTCTATCATCTTCCCAGCAGCAGAGAGATGGCACTGAGGGAACAAGTGAGAAAGGAGGCCCAGGGGACCTGCTGGCACCAACGTAAACTAGAGTATTTGGTCACTGAGGCTGTTTCCAGAAAGTTCTGCCACCACCACTCTCTGGGTAGAGATCTTTCTCCCGGAAACAGAGATGAGGTATAAATGAACATCTCAAGAAACGAGAGCCTGTTGATAACCAGCTGGTTGTGCTGAAAACCACCTGGTGCTTTCTAAATTGAGCGGTCAGGTTGTACTGACAGGCTCATCCTTCTCGCTCACGCATTCCAAGCGTTAAGAACGGATTGTAAATACTTTGGGCTTCTCTTCTGGTGATGGGGTACTGGTAAGTTCTATATTGTCCACAAGGACACTTTTGTCTTGCAGGCTAATGACAGTAGGCTCCGGCGTAGGAGTTGAGGGAGGGTTTTTGTGCATGCGAGGCAAGCTGGCCCAGCTGATGCCCAGGTCTTTGAAAGCATGAAGCATGAACACACCCAGGATGATGGTGACAAAGCCAGAGATGGTGCCCAGGACGTCCACAGTCGACATGCTGTGCCACTCCTTGAAGAGGATGATGGAAGTGGTAACCACCACCGTGGTGAAGAACACGTAGTAGATGGGGAACACCAGGGAGGTATTGAAAACGTCCAGTGCCTTGTTGAGGAAGTTGACCTGAGTGCTGAGGGAAAGCGCCAGGATGAGGGACAGGATGTAAGGGAGGGGGTGCCGCACAACTGGCAACCCCTGGAAGAAGTTCTTAATGGTGATGCCCAGACCCTTGACAGCGGACACGGAGAAGGACCCAATCACAGAGCAAATGATGATGTAAATGAGGATATTCCTTTGCCCGTAACGCGGGGCGATGACAAAGATGAGGATGAGGCAGAACACCAGCATAAGCACAGCAAACACGATGAACCCTTCGGGAGGGGAGGAGGCAGTCAGCATCTAGTGCCCAGACCGTGGCAGGGGGAGGGAACATCAAGATCACAGGCTCTACAGTCACGCAATCATGGGTCCTAGTCCCAGCTTCATAAATTTATTAATAACTTCGGTAAGTTGTTCAACCCCAAGACCTGTTACCTCTTTATATATTTTTTATTTTTATTTATTTTTGAGACAGAGTCTCACTTTGTCACCCTTGGTTGAGTGCCATGGCATCATAGCTGACAGCAACCTCAAACTCTTGGGCACAAGTAATTCACTTGCCTCAGCTTCCCAAGTAGCTGGGACTATAGGTGCCTTCCACAACGCCCAGCTATGTTACCTCTTTTTAAAAGAAAACCAACAATAGGATCTTCCTCATAGTGCTAGTTTGTGTGATTCAATGAGATAATGTCTATAAAGTTTTTAGAGCTGTGCTTGGCAGAAAATAAGCACTTAATCAATGGTATCTGTAATGTACCAGCCCAGAAGGCCTATGTCCCAGCCCCGCAGCCCTCCTCTTCTGGACTGCCTTCCCCTGTAGGTGGCAGCATCTGAGATGGGCGGAACCCAATCAGACCTCCCTCGGGATTCATCCCCCAGGGTTCTGTTTCCCAGCTGGTGGGAGCCTACCTGTGTCTTTCATCTTGGAAGCCATCTCCATGACGGTGGTGATCTTCTCCTCCTCAGGAGCATGTATCACCATCACCGTGCTGCCGGCCACACAAATCACACAGCCCAGCTTGCCCAGCAGATTCAGGGTCTCTCCCAGAAAGTAGGAGGAGAGGATGGCACTGCACACGGACATGGCAGAAAGGGATCAGAGCAGCCCTGCCTGTCCCTGTGTCCCAAAGACAAATGGGGGCTGAGTAAGCACTCACCGAGAACAGAACTCACTACTTGCTCACATGGAAGCTCTTCTAGA